GCTTCATCCGCCCTTTATACTGTAAGAAGTCGCTGAACGAATGCCCATGGGAAATAGCTGAAGCCCTGGTTATCCTGCTGGCAATCAAAGTTTACATCATTGCATAGTGATGGATACTTTGCTTTTTAATTCATAAAGGGAAAATAAGTGCATCCGCGTGATTTGATTAATTGTAAGAGAGAAAAAGAGTGGGTACGAGTTTTAAACGCTCAAATTGACGGTCTAGTACTATTTCAGTGTATCTAACTGATAGTGAGTTCTCAGTGGTATGCAATTTGAAATTTCGACTAGTTTGAACGTCAAATTTGAACTCTCCATGTGCGAATAAACTACTGTCTTTTGGTAAACCACTTCTAAAATCTCCGATATTTTGCCGGAGTTGGCTCCTCTTGATAAAAAAGATCAAATCAAATACAAAAGAAAATTAAGTTCCGTCGAAACATTGAGATGCCCTCCCGTCAACCATGCAGCAGTTCCGAAGAACCAGCCTGTTATATCAAAGTAACGGGGTTTCCGTAGATAATGCATAATATCTAACCATAAACGCAGCCGTTAGATACTAATTTGAAAACGAATTTGGAAATGTTTAAAGCGAATTTCAAAGGCCAAGTATAACTGTTTGTTCAACCATAAGACACGAGACTGTTTTATAAACAGGATGGATAATTTATCACCACAGTTGTTTTTGCGAGTAAAGGTCAGAAAATGCAAAAATCTGACTTTTGCCTAAGCTTTCTTGAACCTAGTGCGTAGGTTACGAATCCATATAATGTCAGATGACAGAACTTTTAAATAGACCTTCCCATATGTCTAAATCTACCGCTTATCGATGAAAAATGTCAGAAGGCAGGATTCTTTGATTGCATCCCTGTGCGGACCATGTAGGGCGCATTTATCCTCCAATTTCTTACGATCAAAGACTAAACATTTGTCTTCAATGAGAAGTAAAGTGGTATTTTTGATAATCGATGACACCGTTTTTTATACGGATTTCCTTAAGCATCAATTCTAACTGCATTATTTTGTTAAGTGTCTGCATTAGAAAAGAAGTTGGTGCTTCAACTAACTGATACGTCAACTTGCTGAAAACGAGCACGGTAGTGTTGAGTGGAATCTTTCACTCCACTGCTACGTCAGGGCGTTTTATAATTCGAACGTTCTAATTGAACTTAACTTCTCGGGGAAGGAGTTCCATTCGTCAACATTGGAAAAAATGTTCTGAACTTGACCCATTGACAGTCAGTAGAGCTTTAAATTATACACTGATACCTCTACAATTTCACTTTTCTAACCTGGATTGTTATTGGTGTCTACATTTCTATTTGAAAATTCAAGAAACAACTAGTTTTTTAATATTCCGTGGTTCTTCCGAGGGCCCGAATCTGATATTTTATTGATATGACTTTCCTTCATGTGTTTTTATGGATTATAAACCGATATTTAACCAAAGGCAAATGTATTGTGCGACTTGCAGAACTTAATATGGAAAGAGTGTGCAATCGAAAAGAATTGTAATTTAATCCCATCCCTAAGGGCAGCCAGGTTCTGTTTCTTGTTTATATATAGAGAGTAGAATTTATTTGCTGAAATATTAATTAGACGTGAAAAAACGCAGTACACACCTTTAGCAACAACTAAGAATTCGTTCGAAAATACATTTGCTGCTGTTTACCATGTGTCTTATTATTACCTTAACTATGATCCCTAAAACCATTAACATGTATATTTTAAGATGGTCTCTGAATGGGAAGGAACTGTCGAATGTACGGGAGAACTGGCATCGACTTCGGTTAACACGCGACCTCCTAAATTCTACTCTGCGATGCACTGCGATCTCCAATCAAGCTGGCTATGCAGAAACTGTTTTAAATTTTACTTGTAAGTTGACAACAAAAATACTGGAGCCGTTAAAGCCCCCACTATAAACAAAGTAATAATTTACTTAACCTGGTAAATGAAAGATTTAAAACTGATGTCCCCTTGCTTCTAACCCCAATTTGTTGAGGAACGCAAGAAGGTGACCAACAGAAAATAACGGACGAAAAAAGATAACTGGACTTCCGGAATAACAACTTTATTGGCCGAGAGCTTCTGATGCATAATCCGCCTAACCATCCGATACCTAAGTAAAGAAAGATACTGAAGAAGTAGGGTATAGCTGTTGCTTCTCATGTTTTTCAGTCGGCAAGCTGAAATAGATTCACAATATCCGGACTTTCATCATTAAAGGCGAAACAGTGAGATACGTTTTGGTCGGTCAAGTCTAGGAAGTTGATCGGGAATGAGAGTTCAACGAACTTTAGTTTAATCATTGTTGCTTGGAGCTATGCTTATTTGTCCACGCCGCTGGTGATCATTGAATTCGGCTATGCAGCGCCATCCAACTGCGTAGGCTGGATGACGTGGCCATGCTTATAATAAGTTTCTGAAACTAGCACAAGCTAGGGATTTGTTGATGCAACTGCAGCCAAACTGCAACTTACCGATTTGTAACGAGTAAAGAATACACTTATGTTTACTTGCTTACAAATACTAGTACGGTCAGAGCAAGACAGTAAATTAAAATACAAAATCTTATTGGAGAAGCAAGCCCACATAAAAGAGTGACGAAGAAGCAATAAGCCACGACAGAAGAGAATTTATATCGAAGGGTATTTATTGCTAGGACAGATTTATCTTAGCGCATGGTCTGGATTTTGGTACAGGTCAGGTTTGCTCTGCTTCCCAATATCGCAGTATCCGAGTGGCTCATGCAAAAGCATGGGCTCAAAAGACTGTTTTGGGTTCGGGGACGTTTTGAGCCAGAAAACACAATTCCTGTATCCATAGATCAGTAAACACGCTGTAGAAAGTTACCTCGCTCAACCAATTAGACAGCATTATAAACTATGTCCTTGCTTTGTTCAGATTACTTTTCTAACCAAAGTTAATCTGCTGCGTATTGGCGTTTTAAAGCGCCACAAAGAAGTTAATGAGAAATCACAAAACCTTTGGTAGCAGTAAGTCCTGCTCATTGTGATTGTTCTAAATGAACACTGGGAACACAATACTTTAATGTTATACCAATTCACGGCTCTTGTAGGTTCCTTGCATGCGGCTTACCAAAATATTAATCACATCAATATTGAACAAATGTGAGGAAGACATCCGTCCGATATAATACTTCGTTTAGCTTGATGTGTGATTTGCTGATCTAAATACGGAGTAGAAGGATTCCTGACAGGCTCCTGCTTAATATAGTTTGCTTAACGTTTCCAAAGTTTTGTAAAAGAACGATACTCACCGGTTTTATCCTTGTAGAAAGTCGTACCCACTCGAATTGAAAAAACAGACTTTTGGCTCAAAGTTTCGGCAGTTTAACGAAGTCTGAAGCTTTGCCTTCCCATTGCATTTTGTTATTTTTACTCTCTACTGTAATAGTTTGCAGTTTTAGATGAACGCATTATGCAAGGATTCTTAATTTTGTGGATCTTGTAATGAGTTATATAAATATGAACATATCCTGTGGTTAACCCTACAATAAACAAGGCCAAATCACACACTAATTCGTCAACTTGCGTCTTTAAGCGCCACCGCAGTTCCTACAGGCCTTCACCCTCCTTTACGCCGGTTCGGTCGGAGAGAGTGCTCGGTTGGAGTGTGCCACCGAGGGTAACCCCCCGCCGCGAATTGAATGGCGTCGCAGCAGGACTGGCGATCTACTGGGACGTGGCCGATTTCTCCACCGGCCCAAAATCCAACCAGAGGATTTTGGCCCCTATACCTGCATCGCTACTGTCCGCGGGTATCCGTCAATCTCGAAGGAGGTCTGGCTATCGGAGAAAAGTAGGTTTTACTAGGAAGATGTTGTAATTTCTTTGGACCCAACAAATTCTGGCTACAGAATTCAGGATAGGGTAAAAGTTAACTTAGTCGCCCCCCCCCCTGACCCCTAGTCCTGTGGTAACGTTCAGTTGTATTAGTTTTAGTCTGATTTACTTTTTAGTTTATTATTTAGTTTAGTAACTAACTTTTAGTTAAAACCAGTTAAGTTTTTAGTTTATTTAGGTGCAACATGCCAACATATACTAAAGATTAATATTCTTTCGCTAATCGGCATTGACGCCGGATGTGATACTGATTATCGTGTAGACTATTCTGAAGATATTTCAGTCATGATAGGATTCGGGCTTTTAAATGAGCTCCGTTCTGACGACTAATAAAAAGTATGCACTATAAAAAGTAACTACTTAAACAGTATGCGTTTTTATTATTACGCCTTCGCTAAATTTTATACTCAACGATGGAATATCTTTCGGTTTAAAGGGGTTTCTAAATTGCCGAATAATTTTGAAACCCACTGACTACTACAGTCGAATTCAAGGTTTACAAACTGCACACTGTGTACATCCTGTTTAGGGAAAAGTATTTTTTCGCCTGCAGTTTGAGAAAGAAGTCACATAGTTCTCATAAAATGTTGCAATAGGTGTGGAACACGCTTTATATAGTAAAAGCAGCATTAATACATTGACGGGTACGATGTATTTTGAATGAACACCTCGCAGTCGTAAAAAAGTTCATATTTAAAAATTTATCTAGAACTGAAGGGAACCCTTTCTTCAAGTATAAAATTTAAAGAAGGCGCAATCTTCTACTAAACGAGTACAAGAAATAATTTTTCTTTCATAAGGAGGCGCAATTTGTTATCAGATAAGTACGAGAAAGGACTTTTTCGTGTACTTTCCATAAAATATATTTGAATTTATAAAGGCAGTCAAAATCAATGATAAAATCGCATACTATTTAAGTTGTTACTTTTTACAGTAAAAACGTTCTGTCAGTAGTCAAAATAAAGCTCGTTAAAAAGCCCGCATCCTATCATGACTGAAATAACTTCAGCGTGGACGACTCGATAATCAGTATCACAGCTTGAGTCAATGCCTATTAGCGAAAGAATATCAATCTTTCGCGTATGTTGGCATGTTGCATGAATTCTGACGCTTGCTGTACAGTGTATATTAAACTAAGCTTAACTTTACAAAACTGACCAGCCTAAAAACTGTGCTACACTTAGGTTAAAATTAAACTAAAAAAACTAAAAACTGAACGAAACCAATTCCACCGGTCCCACTGCACAGATTTCTGGGGCTAGGTGGTATCTGAGGTGGGCGACCAACGTAATTTTTACCCAGACTGGTTTGAAGAAATGCACCGTGCAGTTGTTTGGGAGAGTGGCAAATATTTCGGGTCACCAAAAGGAAGATAGCTTATTTCTAAATTTCACGATCTACCTCGGTCTACCTCATCTAGGAACATTTCAGTGCGCCAAGCATTGATGTTCTGAAATGTTTTGTTATTTTATACCTGGGTACCTTCCAAAATGTCCATAAAGTGCGCTCCGCCGCTGGGTGTCGTTTCGTCCTGTTAGCTGTACTTTATTTTAGTGTTTGATAAGCACCTGCCGGTGCCCCCATCCTGTTGAGCAACTTAAACGCACAGTATACTTTTTAACTTACTTAAACAG